TAACCGACTTCCACAGGCACATGGAGGGACCTCCTGCAAAATGTCAATAAATCAGCCTAACTGTGATACAGAGCAGGATAAGAGGGCTCAGTAGGGAACATCCATAATATATGTGCACCAAAGAAAACAAGCAGTATCCAAAATATATACATATATTTTTTTCTTAAAACCGGTCATGTACTTTTATAATTTACAGTTGATGACCTGGATGCTTTGTTAAATATTTACAATGATTCTGACCCAAATCTTCAACGAACATTTGCTGAATTAGAAGAGAAGTTAAACCCAAACAACGATTTTTATGTCCCCGGATCGAAAGATCTCGGGGGTATATATTTTTTGTCCTATCTGTCTGTTTATCTGTTTGTCTGTCTGTCTGTTGTCAACTTTAACCTTGCCCATAACTTTTGATTGGTTGGAGCTATGACTTTCATATTGCACATGTATAGTCCTTGTGACAAGACCTTTCATTGGCTACCACCATATTTGACCTTGGAGTTTGACCCACTTTTGCAAAATTTTATGAGACTTTAACCTTGGCCAGAGCTTTTGAACAGTTGGTGCTTGGGGTTTCAAACTTCACATGTGTATTCCTTGTGACAAGACCTTCCTCTGGATATCAACCTCTTTGACCTTTTAACCTTGACCTAGGAGTTGGACCTACTTTTGAAAAACTTTAACCTTGGCCTTAATTTTTAAATGGTTGATGCTAGGGCTTTCATTCTTCACATATGTAATCCTTGTGACATCACCTTCCTTTGAATACCAACTACATTGACCTTGACATAGGAGTTTGACTACTTTCGAAGAACAAATTAAATGTGCAATAAAAACCAAAACCGTCACACTCTTCACCCCTTAAAACAAAAATTACAATTTTTGTTAATACTAAATAATAATGAAGAATATTATAATTTCTTAAATCCTCCAACAGGGCACTTCTCATCCCTTGGATTGTGGTCCTCCTTCAGCCTCTCTTCCCTAGCCCTCTCCTGCTCCTTGTGACGCACTCTAGAACGAGGACTTCTGCACTACCTTGTCGTTAAGCACAATTTCCTTCCTGATACTAGTTTATTTTTTGAGGTATGAAGGTGTTTTCTTCGGAGATGACGTCGTACATCTTGATGTCCTTTAGTCGACAGAGGGGACAGTAATGTAAGGTTACGAATCTGCGATGGTATCGGTGGAAAAGACTCCAATAACTCCCAAGTCGGTTGAACCAATACTCTCCAGAAGGAAATCCTACAGTGGGACACACCATGCCCAAGTCATTTTAATATATTTAAATTTTGGTAGAAATATGTCATTTGATTGGATAAAAAAAAAATAATATTGTATAGTCGTGGTTTTTTTTTTTTTTTTTTTTTTGCAGCTTTCAATTTATAATTTATGGATCCTCCATGGATTGTTGTTTTTTTTATACTCGGTGAGCTTTAAGGCCCTTGGGCCTCTTGTTATGATATCAGTTGAAAAATCTTGTAATATGAGTTTTGGGTTGGACACCGTTAAAGCTGAACACTACTCATAAATAGGCACCGTCACACAGGTATTTAAACCCTTCGATTTCGTTACACCCGATTGATAAATATAGCGTTTCTCCATATAATTTCATGGTAAAACTGTGATGGCGGTCAAGAGAAAACACTATGATATAATCCGCACTTTATTAGCTTACCGTCGCCTATGTATATATAATAATCTCAAAACATGAAGTTACAGCGTGTCTGGTCTGGACAACAGCCAAAGTAGAAGAGAGAGAAGGAATGCGGGTACACGTCACACAATGTGTGCAGTGCACCACGTGACAAGAGGCAGCAGGGCAATTCGTGCCCCGTACCTACAAATCCACTACATTCCTCCCCATTTTGAACAAAGGGCGTCCCAGCTCGTATATATATATACATGTGTATATAATGGGACAATGTATAATGTACAAATAATCAAATAAATTAACTCTTAGCAGGGCCTATCACACATACATACATACAAACACATAGCAATATCAATTAAACATTAATGTCCATAATAAAATTAACACAGTTCCTGACACAATCACTCATCAGAATCATCCCCGAGTCATTTCGGTCCACCACGTGGTCCTACACTGCTCCAAGACTCCTGTCGTCCACCACGTGGTCCAAGACATCATCCATGGATAGGCTCTGCTACATCTAATGCGACGTCTACGGTGCGGCCAAAAGTACACAAAAGGTACACCAGATACACAGATACTATTCCCTAATGGGCAGAGAACCTAGTCTTGATATCACGCACACTAACCGAAAATCCCCATTCGACTTTCCCCATCCGCCTTTTAACCCACAGGCGGAGCTTCTCTAGCATAGTCTCTTTATCAGCACCCTCAGGAGCCACCCTCAATAACTTCGCTAACTCTAACAGAAACTCTAGAAATACCCCTGGATCATAAACACCCCTAGTGTGAGATTCCCAAATATGAGTTAACATAGGTGTCGCCCCTGCAAACTTCGCACCACACCCATGTACTGCGCACCTAGTATGAGTACCCCTAGATCTAACACGACGTGCCCCTGCCCCCTCCGTACCTGCGGGAATTAACCGTAACCTGGCATAATCAGATAGCAAACCGGCACGTCCGACCCCTTGAGGTCGAGGAGTACCAATACCAACACGAAATGCGGTCTTAGGAATATCTTTTTCTCTCATTTCTACTTGATTGTATCCTTGTATAAGGTCTAAACTACTGAAATCTTTGGCTCCATTTAGACTATCCCAAGTGTCTTCAAATGTAAAGCATCGCCACTCTTGGTCACCAAGTGAATCATGTCGTCCAGGATGACGACCGTGTGAGGGGAATCTGCAGACCATTCTCTGAGTTCCTCTCGACTCGGCAAACCTCGGTACGTGGAAAAGTCTGGTAGACTCGATTGCATTTCATCCACGACGGGTTGATCCTCCAAGTAACAGTACACGATCTTTCCGGGGGGCACGTCGAACAGCTCCCGACCGTGTTTCAACAGGTTCCAGACGAAATGCGTCTTACCCGGCATGGTACCGCCGACGACGGCAAAAGACGTAGGGGTTTTGAATTGCATCGTACTCGTTCGAGAACAAGCCTTCGACTGACTCGTCTGAGAGACGAAGAGCGTATTTAAGAGAAAACGATGAAATACGTCATTTTTTTCTATTGAAGAAAAAGTCATCATACATCATCATGAACATTAAAGCACACAAAACTACATCTCAAATGTTTACACATCAAAAACATTTCTACAAGTGTACAATACAAATAACTACAAAACAAGTTACATGCATACATGGGTTTATAAATATACAGTAAAACTTGTTGAATCCGGATGTTGTGCATTCCGGCATGTTGTTCAGTCCGGCGTAATATTTTAGTCCCCTGAATTTTCTTTATAATTTATGTTTAATAAATGTTGTTCAATCCGGATCTTGCCTATTCTGTAAACCGGCTGCTATTTAAAGAACTAACTGCTCATAATGAGTACAAATTATCTCCTCTAATCCGGCCACTTATTTTTACCTGTGCCCGCTGGTCATTAGAGAAGTCTCGCGTGGGGTAATTATTGTCCCGTTAATGATCTATCGGTATCGACAGTTTAGATTTTAACAAACGTGATTAAAAAAACATTAATGGCTCGAGTAAGGCGAAGAAATTAACTCGCAAGAGAACGAGTAATAGTGATGGCTGCGTGTAGCATGTCTGTAGAAAAACTTGGAGACTTGTTCATGACCTCCTTTCTACTTTCGTTTTGTGTGCACGACGTGCAATTAGAATTACTTCCCTTTGTGTCGCTAGTTTACAACGACCATAACGACAGAAGATTTTGGTTCAATATTCATTATAACATTTGAAGTATCTAAATATTCAATCATATTAATTTTAAAAGAAAGAAATTAATTAGGAATTAATTAATTAGGAATCTGTCATTAACAAAATAATATTTACAGGTACGATGCGGTTTTGGAGTGTGTTTAAAACATTTAACGATTTTCAAATTTAATAAATGACCAAGAGATATTATATTTCGTTACTGAATAAAAAACTTAAACAGAAATGAAAATTCTGAAGAACAAACAGAGTTTAAAACAAACGGAAATAGACGATTTTTTTTTCAAGTGAAACGTAAAAAATGACACATTTGATCAAGTATTTATTTACCACTCTCTGTTTATATCTATGTAGTTTTTAACTTGCTATAATGGTTCAATTTTCTCCAATCCGGATGTTGTCTAATCCGGCCAAAAATTTTGGAACCACTGGTCGCCGGATTAGACAAGTTTTACTGTATATATATATATTTATACATAAATATATATGGTAAAGAGAAATGATACTTAAAAAAAAAAGCATACACACATGGGAAGACATAATTGAAGAAAATATATCTGAAAACGGAAATAAGAGTCTGCTTCGCCGCCGCCGCCGCCGCGGAGACTCCGGGAACCTAAGGTCTCCGGGAACTTGCAGTCTCCGGAAACGTTCGGTCTCCGGAAACGGTTTCCGGAGACGTATAGTCTCCGGAAGCGTTAGGTAACCGGTCAAGAAAAACAACTTTAGCCACGGTTCATAAGGACATGGTGGATCCGGGACTCGGAGGTGTTGCGGACGACGTCTGACATGGTGATCCCTCGGGCAAGACAATACAGATAATACAGCACGTGAAGTCCACAGGTGGTGGTAGAATTAGGTTGAACTTGAACGTTGTTGTAGAGACACAGAAGCGAATTGCGATCGACAAAGTCTCTGAGGCTCGTCGTAGTCTTCAGACAATTCTCCGAAACTGTCGTAAAATTCGCATTGGTCGACACTGACAAACCAGTAGGCAACCCAATGTGATCCCTTTTTTTCGATGGGATCCGCGTTGCACACGTAGGCCGAAGGAAATCGACGCACGCGTTCGGGAAGTGTGTCGGAAGCATAGATTCCTCGAAAATGAGGTCTTAATTTGCTTAGAGACGAGACGATTTTCAACACTTGAGTGGCGTCCATGTTCTCAGATTTGTCGAACTTCGCGGGTGTGGTCGATCATCAAAAGTCCGGGACATTCGCAGTAAGCCAAGGCGCAGACGGTTTCCGTGGTCGCGTCGGCGAATCGAGCATACACTCCTACGTTTTCCTGATGAACGAGGTTTATATACCCTTCTCCCAAGTCGTTAGGGACGAGGTCGAAAGCGTAGATGGCATATCCATTGGAAAACTGGTCACGATCGATAATCAATCCGTCGTCTTTGTACCACTTTTCGCTCGATTGGTAGAGGTTACAGAGTGCAGTGACGTAATTCTTATCGTCACCAAAGTCTAGTCTCATGGGTCGTACGGGGACGGGTTCTCCGTTGACGGTCACCACGATTTCGGAGAGTTTGAAGTGCTCAAAATTGAAGGGATTGGCTGTGTAACTTCCGTTGACGGCCGACTGTTTGACAAAGGTGACAAACATTTTAGACGGTTGTTTTCCGTTCCATACGTCGTCCCAGTAAAATTCGCTCGTCTTGTCCGGGATGGTGGTCATCTTAACGTCCGTTTTCACGTAGTTATATCGGGCGGCTGTCTTGGTGATGGTCTCGGCATGGTTCAGTAAGACGGCGCTATCTACTCGAATCTTACACGCCTTAAAGACGGCGTCTAAAATAGTGACCTTGTAACTGGGACTGCTTTCGGCACTCATCACCACGAATTCGTTGCGGGAACGAAATAGTCTCAGCTGTAAGTCTACGCCGTTGATGAGGTACTTGTCCAAGTAAAAACAGTCCAAGTACAGAGGTCCTTCTAAATCGAAGGTGCGGGACAATTGCGTAAACACGTAGCGAGACCGAAGTCCTTGGTTTCTTCCTCCGGCAGCATTGGCGTCTTCTACACCTTCTTGATCGGGATAATACAGCTGCGTCTGCAACTGTGATTTGCTGGCCGCCGGACCGTTGGACAGGAGGACTTTTAGGTAAGCTTTCCAAGGATAGTTGTTGGCGTTCTGAGTGACGCATTTGCCATTCATGTAGACGTCGATTTGCGAGAACAGGGACTGCAGAGGTAGGTTGATGATCCCGGTCTTTTCTGAACCGGCCAGGGTCGTGCCGTCGGATTTGATGATCTTGGCTTTTAAGTATAGTCGACTTCTTCTCAGATCGAGATACTCGTTTCCGCTTCTGGGGATGGCAAATTCGAGCAGAGCGTCGTCGGCGTCGAAGGACGAAATGGGACGAGTTTCCGTAAAGTATATCTTTTGAAGAGCCACTTGATTGGGAGGATCGGTGAAAAGAGAGAGTTCGCATGGTTCTGCCGTACTCGTATTGACGTCGCTCAGGAAAGACATCAATGCTAAAAAATGGGTTTTCCGTCGGGATGAGAGTTAAGCTTGCCTTTTCCTTTTTGCTTTTTCTTAAGATTCTTTTTCTGTGGAGCCTTCTGTCTCTTCGTCGGGACACGTCTTTTCCCTTTGAAAGTCGAGGAACGACTGATACCTTTTTTCCGGGGTTTCTTTTTTATAGACTTTTGTAAGGGCATGTGTGGTTCGTCGTTACGCATGGTTTCTTTCCGATCCGACAGGGCTCTTTCTCGCTCGGCTGCGACGGGAGTGACTTGAGGGATTTCCGATCTAGGGGCAGCGACATGTTTCACGGGAATCATGTAGGCTCTTCTTCGATTTAATATATCGCCCCCTCTCTGGCCTTTCTTTCTAATCGTCGGAATGAAGTTTTCTCCCCTCTCGGTGTGTCTAAACTGTTCCCACAACGAAGGATGCGAAACGTACGTCGGCCCAGACATGATGTCAGAGACGATGAAATACTAGCGTCACCGTGGACTCTCCACTCAAGAATGAAACGTCTGTGTCTTGCTTGTCCTTTATATACACGTGGATGTCTCTGAGGTCATTGGAGCGTAAAGGGATCTTATAAGGGCGGAGAAAAATCACGTTGTTGTTGTCCTTCAGGACGATGCGTCTCAGTAGAGGTTTTTGACTGCCTCCCACAATGCTGTCATCGCAGACCGAACAGTAGACGAAAATTTCCTTGTCGGTCGTTTTCCCGAGTTTGGTGTTTCTGAACTCGGTCAGTTCCACCGTCCAATCGCCCGTCAAAGGTAAGGGTCTGGGTAAACGCACTCGGAAGTTTTCCGGTCGATTGTCGGGATGATCGGTGGCACTGTCCGTCGACTTGAGAACCATACGCATAGATATCTCGAGGGAAAGTGATACGATGGGAAGAGATTACGTCTCTTTTATATCGCTTTTCGGGATCCAACTGTCGAATTTTTTGGGCCATCCCAACCATCTCACCAGAACTTTACCCCGAATCTTGCGTTTACGTAGAATCCTGTCGATTCTCCAGATCGTCTGTTCGTCTTTGATCACTTTCTGTAGTTCGCTGGCATAAAAAGTACCTTGGATCGGATCGTCTGCCAGGTCCTTCAGTTTGTAGATAGGGATGCCCTGAGACACGAAACGATCACGAATCACAAAGATTTCCTCGGTATAGGTCTGGTCGTAATCCCGCTGAAAGGGACGTCGCAAGTGTGTGATTCTGACTTGATCTCCCACTTTGAACGTGTCGGGTAAACATTTTTTCGTCTTGGACGATTTCTTCACTTTAGGAATCCGAGTGTCTCTTCGACGACGAACCTGATAGGCATCTAGTCTCACTTCGTCTTCGTTTTCCTTGGTCACGGAAGCCGGCGTGCGACCTTTCAGCGATCGGTTAGGGGTGTGGATGATGGACTGAACCACGTCCTGTAAGACGTCCAGGTACTTGTATTTTTGTAAGTGCGTAAAATATCGATACAGACGTTTTTTCAAGGTCTGAATGTACCTCTCGGCAAAGTTTGCTTTGGTCTCGTTCAAGGCATAAAAAATCTTGATTCCTTGGTCTCTGAGATACTGTTGAAGAAATCAGTTATAAAATTCCGATCCCTTATCGGTTCTTATGGCTCGGGGGCGTCTCGGTCCAGTGAACACGTCCTTAAACGCCTCAATAACAGATTTGGCTTTTCGGTTTTTTAAGGGCCGGACCCATAGAAACTGAGAAAAGACGTCGGTAATCACGAGGAGGAAATTAACGCCATCGTTGTATTCGGACAAGTTCTGAACGTCTGCCAGGTCGGCTTCCCACTGGTAGTCTATACCTTGAACCACGACCCTCCTCCTCTTAAACCCCTTTCTACGTACTTTCTTTTGTAGCGAATAAGCGTCCTGGTTCTGTAGAAATTTTTTGATTTTAGTCATACCAATATTGAATTTACCCTCTTGTTTCACCACCTGATAAAGCTTAGAGGGTCCGGCAAAAGAACCGGGATGTCGAGGATCGTACCATATTTTTTTCAAATACTCTTCCATGTCCACACGTCCTGCGGTTCAACGTTTGAATGACGATATGTCATGCACACCTCCGTTCTTATATCCTCAGTTATACACAAATACAAAAAAGATAAGTATCAGGTTTTAAATAACTTTATTAATACATTTTTTTTTAATAAAAAGAAAATTACAAAAATCAGCCTGTTGCCCGTCTCACTACCAAGGTCGATCTCTGCCAATACGGCTCGGAGCACTTTAAGTGTCCTTAATCAGTTTATTCGGATTCTTGACGAACAACTTGGAGAAAAAAAAGTCAGAATGGACATACAAGAAACATTTTAAATTTAAATGTCAATGATAGCTTTTCTTTCACCGGAAATTATTTCTGGCGTACATTCCTTTCCTGTTATTTTCGTTCTTTCCGTCGGACACCATCTGAGCGTACTGACAATTCTTGGACCAACGGAGATGTTCTTGGTAGGCATCGTCGATGGGTTCCCAATTTTTCAGTGTCATTCTACAACAAAAACAGGTCACTTTATCTCCGATCTGCGTGTAGATGAATCCGGCTCGAGCCAAGTCTTTTTTGTTGGGTCCTTTCAAGTATCTTGGCCAGTCCCAAAATGTTGCAAACCGAGAGGCAAAAGTGACGTATTCTGGATACTGCCAGAGTTGGTGTTGAGGGGGAGGTGGTGGTGGAATGTTCTTGATCTGTCTGATCACATTTCGGGAGCTGTTTGACACATCTTCATTCTCTTGATAACGCCTGGCAAAGTTGGCACTGGAATCCCAAGACGTGGAGGGTTGAGCCTCTAGTGACGAATAATCGTTCCAAGAATGTTCGGTACAGGAATCCGTCTCCACGAAATTTACTGCACCATCTAGGGAAGAAGTCATCTTGTTATCTCAAACTTCGTGTGTAAAATGATGACGAGGTGGGAAGCGGTCCTCATTTATACTTTTTCCTGTCACACATAATTGATTTCCATAGCGATACTTCATTGTTTGTTGAATGAGTCACAGGACTTTCTTTTCGTTTACGGATAACAAAGAAGAAGATCCGTTTTGACGTCATCGTTCTTCTTTTTTTCAAGGATTCGTTCATTGTCATAATGACATTGTTTCTGTTATAATGGCCATGTTTGTATATTGACGTCACTCCTATTAGGTAAACATGATCTTTTTTTTTTTACGGAGAGTGGACGAGAACAATAGATCTCATTGCTCGTGATTTCACGGTTCATACTTTTACGTCATGGAATTTCCGTGGCGTCCTCTGTTGTTCTATAAATGAAGACGATTCACACATCGGGCTTCATTCTCCAGTCAACTTTTACTCAGATCATGTCAGACTTACGTTTATCCGTCGCCCTTGAAAATGGACGTTATGTCAAAGTCTCTATTTGGCAAAACGAAGTTCGATTAGACATGCGAGAGTATATAGTCGGAGAGAAAAAAATCATACCTACCAAAAAGGGATATCTTTGAAATTACATCAAATCAAATCTCTGTCAAATTTCATGGAATCTGTACTAGAGGCCTTAAAACAGAACCAAGAGAGGAAATGGCACCTGGGATACAATGTTTACGTCTCCGTGAGAGAAAACAATCCCTGTGTCGACATACGTCAATATTGGAAACCACCTCAGACAGATGAGTCTGTTCCAACAAAAAAGGGTTTATGTCTGCGACCACAGGAGTTCGAACACTTCATGGCTCGATGGGAAAACATCCTGAACTCCATACCAGAATTGGAAAATTTCGTACCCTGTTACGAACAGAATGATCATCTGAATCAAATTGGAATGTTGAAGTGCCCCGCCTATAATCCCGACGGATGGGAAAATTGGTGAATTCCGGACACCCCTTATCGATACAAAAGACAATTTTCAGTTCAAGACATTGATTTGAAATGTTCAAAATTAGATTCACGAACAGTGATGTATGAGATTACTGTAAATTCATATTGATTTATCTCTGTAATAAATTTGATGAATGAGATTACTGTGAATTCATATTGTTTTATTTCTAATTAATAAAATTACATTGAAATGTGAAAAGTTTTTTCTCCTTTTTTTTGGTGGGAGAGAAGGTTATATATGAGATATTACTTTAATAAAAATAAAAACAGTTGATCGTCTTCCTCTGAAGATCATAGGACCGATATTTACAAACTGAGAGGATCTGTAGGAAAACGCAAACTAGCTACAATAAAGATCCCAGTAATTCCGGATACACTTCGCATTTTAATGAAATCAGAATGTCCTGCAGTCGTCTGTTTGCTGTCCTGATGGGATTTGGGTCATTGTTGACAGTCGTTGAAACATTTGTTAAAATGTATGAGAAGTATGTTCTCGTACTTAATCCTACTGGTCAATAACATGAAAAAGATTAAACAAAATGTTTTTCTTCCTTTCTGACCCAAAACCGTTTCGTTTAAGATAGGGATATGACTCGCTCAGGAGACTGGGTTGTTTAATTGAAGAATATCCCTCCATAAAATATTAACAAGATACAATAGACGTTTTCTCATCATTTATTCGAATTTCATGCATTCAAAATATATAAGATAGATTCGTTTCTCATTTTTACCTCTCCATTGTTCAAAGATATGACAGACAACAAAATAAGACATGATTAAAGAACTATATATGGTAAGGGCGTATTCCTGCCCCCATAATAGTCAAATTTTGAAAATCTCTTGAAATGAGCAAAAGTGCATATATTGTATAAAATAATCCAAATTAAGACAATATATTATGAAATTGGAAAAAATAGTTGGCTTTTCTTGTCTCTGTGACGTCACAAACTATTTGGATTTCCGTTATTTTTAAAAAAGAGGCCAAAATGCACAGAGTTTGTTCAATTTTGACTATAGTATTTATAGAGCGCAAGCTTGCTCAGGTACCATATTCACATATTTCAATGATATTATCATTCTACACATTGTATCAAAAGATCTAGTCTGAGCAGACCTGCGCTCGATAATTTCCAATCAAAATACCGACGTAAAATACACTATT